TGAATTACGCGCCGCGGTACGTTTCTCTTTTTTTTCTTTTTTTTTTTTTTTTTTTTATCCATTGCAAGATGAGAAGCGAAAAATACGCGACGACGGTGAATTATCCTCAAAATCGTAGTTTTGAAAGTGTATTAGAATACACGTGTAAACGTGTATGAATTAAGGAATTAGAGATCCGTATTTTTAATACACGTCTACATACGGTTCGCGTGTTAAGGAATTAAAAAATCTGTGCTCGCAGATCTACAACGTTGTACTGTCGGGTTATTTGCTAGTCCCTTTCTATTATACTTCTATAATAACATATCAATTTCAACAAAATCTAAGATACAGACTAAATGGCAAAATATTATATTCATTCAGGGAATCTAAATTACGGATGGATAATTTTTAGTGTAATAGAGATTTTATTAATTTGATTCATATTAGAATTTAATATTTCCAATTTCGAAGCAAATGCAGTTACTTGTTTTAAGACTTTCGTACGGCGATGTATATTTAAATGACTACATGTGAGTGGTAAAAATACCATAAACGAAAAATATTAAAAATTACACTACACATGAATCTTTGACACACGCGTGTCAATGGACACGCGACGTTTTCACGGGCTGCTACACCATCTTCCGCGAATTTCTCGCTGTTCCTCTCGAGCGAGAGGTTACGCGAACGCGTTGGGGAAATTTACTTTTCGAGTCTTCACCCTCGGCGAAGCGACTCGTAAATCTGTGTAAGGTCAGTGGAATGAGATCCCGGGGAAAGGTCGGAGGTGAGGCGCGGAACGGGGCCACCCTCTTTCGAGATTGCTCTTCGAGCGGGACAGCTCGGTCGATAAAACAATTGCCGGGGGGATAATCGGCATTATTTACGCCGGATTCTCTGGTAGATAGGCGAGGGTAGCAGCTGGGGGCACGCGAGAGCCAGGGTGAGAAGCAAGAAGGGAGAGGACTGGTCTGCTCGTAGGGCGGGAAGAAGGCTGTCGTATCACGAGCCTGAATACCCTTGGCATAACAGAACCGAGCGGTGCACGAGGGTAGTTAGAAGAGAGAGGTCCGAAGAAGATTCCCCGGCAGTTATAAGCCTAGGGTGATCTCGTGCAGCGGCTTCGTCGGCTTACGGCTTATCCTGCTGATCCGCCCTCGCCGTTAAACTGCTCTCAATTAGATACGTCACTGGATTTCGATGTCAACTGGCTGTATAAAGTCGCGATCTCTCCCTCGGGACAGCTAACCCCCTGCCCACTTGCCTTCACTCGCTAAACGTGACGCGTTTTTCTTTTTCTTTTTTTCTTTTTTTTTTTTTTTT